CTAAGCAGTTGCGACCGAAGCGATGGAAGTTGCCAACTCAGTTGTAGCAACATCAGATTCTGCTCTGGCCGAAGCGATGTAGGTTGGCAACTCTATGGAGCTGTTGCAATGCGAAGCTGATGTAGTTGATAGGCTCTGAAGGGAGTCTTGAGCATTGTGCCAATAATTTGAAGGCTTTTCCATCTTCCCAAGGTAATCATGGGGGGGAGGGCATTTGCTTGCTTCCAAGGCACGCCTCCTTTACCATAAGTGGTAATGATGGTGACGACTCTCGTTCCTCAAGGTGACGCGTTTTGGACGTGCGTGTTACCCACTGCTTCATCAAGACCCTTGATTTAAAATGACCATTGGCTTTAACAAAGATCATCGTGCCTTGGCATTGGACGGCCTAGATGTGGTTTGGATGATCGAACGGTTGTCGCGAATTTGAAACTCATATAAAAGGCCCATCCCCTTCATTTTGAAACTTCTACTTTCGCTAAAATCTCCATACTTCTTTCGAACTCTCAAGAATTTGTCGTGATTTTCTTTTCTTCTCCGACGAGCGTTCAGAACTCCGGCGTCCATTATGTGAATTCCGGCGAGGGGCAGATTATGTTGAACTAGGTAACCTTCGCATTCATCAATTTCCTCATCTTTTCTACCATTTTTCTTCGAATATCCTTGAAACTTTGAGGGATGGCAAGTAAAACATCTGTGATAAGGAGTGAGGGGCGAAGAGAGAAGAGTTCCTCGCTGAAGGAACCCAAAGACACATCCATCCAATGGGGGGCGTTAAGCCACCCCTCAAAATTCATATTGAAACTCATAGAAAGATGTAGGGACATCTTCAAGGTCTCCCATAGTATCCAACTCATCTGACCCGAGCCTCATGAGAGGGCATGCTACCCTAGGCCAGGGTGCGTGGCTGTGAGCGATCATTTGTTCCGGGCCGAGTTGAGGCTTCCTTTCCACCCTTTCAGCTTGGTCTTACTTCAACGTCGAGAAACGAAAGAAGACTTCCATCTCCCTTTCTTTAGACTAGTACTTAGACCCTACAGGTTGGCCCCAACATAGTTCAATCCCAACGCGTGGTCCTAGATGGTTGGGATGTGGATGCTGGCGGCGGGTAAGCATCGAGGTGGACATGCCCTTCAGCGTGTTCCATTCTCTCTTCTTTCCAAAGGCCACGGCCAGGGAGGAGACGAGCAAGGGCGGTACTACTTGGCTCCCTGGGTGTCCCACTCTCCATTCGTAGTCGGGGTCGCCCTCCTCTATTAAGGGCTGGAAGGATTCTTGGTTCTGGGCATCTGGCCGGTGGGATACCATGGAGAATGACCCAGTGGCGCCTCTAACCGTTCCTACCATTTATTCCTCTTGCAGTAAGTAGCTTACCGAGTTGATTTATCTTGGTTGACTTCACTCATGTTTTTAATATTTTTGCCCTTTGTAGGTTCTCTTTCGAAGTGTGAGATAAACGAGGAGGAGTGGGACATTATTGGGCAGCTGTACCAGACGCCTCAGCCGGAGATGAGTTACAAGGAGCTCATAGATAAGAACACTCACTTCGTCGTACACGGGCTGATGACCAACCAAGGTAACTCGTCTTTGCTTCGGTTCTTTCTTCATAGTTCCTTAGAAATTACTTAGCCATCTTCTTTCTTGCAGCGGATTTTGAGAAGAGGAGGTAGCCAAGGCCTGACCTTACTACCATCCGTCGGAGCGTGGCGGAAACCAAGCTATTGAAAACCAGCTCGGCTGCTTATAAGAAGCAGTCGGAGCGTCTGCTTACCCTCAGCAGGGCAAGCCAGCAGCCTGAGGAAGGCAAGGCGGAGGAAGGAGCCTCCCTCGTGAAAAGAAAAAAGAGGGCTGGCCCACCTGGGGGCTCTGCCACTATTCCGAATGTATCCATCTTTTCTCCTCCTCATGCCAATGCCGGGGTCACTGTGGCGGCCCCGCCAATCTCTTAGGCTATTGTGCCAATAACTGCATACTTTGCAGAGAGGCCGGGCAAGAAGAAGCAAAAGAAGGCTGCTGGGGCCTCGACTCGGGGAAAGGTCACTAATTTTTTGGAAAGGAAGGACGAAGACCTCCCCGAGGCTGTACTAGAGATGCTCCCTCCAGAGACTGCTTCTGCGGCAAGGGTCCACAGCAAGTATTGGATCGACGATTGGGCTAATCACGTCGCCTCATGCGAGGTAGAGGATCTCTTAGCCGCCACAACGCCTGTGTGGCCAGAGCGCTAAGTATTAGGACGATGGCGGAGGATTTAGTCAGAGGCCTCCGCAAAAAGAGTGATGACCAGGAGAAAAGGTTGGAGGCCTCGTCTAGTTGGGAGGATGAGATGGAAAAAGCCAGAAAGGAGGCTGAATTGGCGGAGGAGAAGCGGACTAAGGCGGAGATGAAGCTGGACTCAGCTGAGATACATGTTAATCGGTTGAGGAACGAACTGTATAAGTCGACTTCGTAAGTGGCAGCTCTGACCAAGAGGACTGATCAATCCAATGAGCATTAAAGGCTCGCCTCCGAGGCTTTGGGGAGGCTAATAAAGAGAAGGCTGAATTGAAGAAGTTCTCCGAGGCCCAGGCTGAAGAGATTGATTCCTTGAAGGTCGAGGTGAAGACGGTTGGCGAAGTGGCAGTCCAGAATTACAAGGACAACTTTAAAAATACGCAAGAGTATGATTCCTATATAGTAAATAAGAAATGTAATTAGAGTAATAATATAATCATACTACCTAATCAAGAATGATCTTAACTGAAGATTTAAACAAAAAAAGTACATCTTCGTCAATGTCCCCCTCACTAAACCTTGCACAAGTTTCGAAGTATGATGAAAGAATAGAATTTTCTACACACAATAGAGAAAATACAATTTAAAACAAATAGAATTCTGATAAACTAATCATTGATTTGATGAACATAAAATACAATTTATGAACAGAAAGTAACATTGATTTGATTTAAGAATTGAATGATTTGAATTCAAGAGAAAACTAACCTATGAAACTTTCGGATTTGGAATTGCTGGAGACAGCTCAATCGCATAAATAATAATGTCAATTAAATCGCTTGATTCTGTACGATTTCGTTTTTACAATTGTCTGTTTTTCTCGAGCAAGGACAATTGCATTGAGTTCCTGAAATAAGAATTGGATGCACAAAATTATTTACCAAACTTAAGACACAATACAAGCACTCAAGAAACATGAAACTATACCATACCCGGAACTGGTGAGGGCGGCGACGGATTTGAGTGGAGGAGAAGTGTAGTCTAGATATTGTAAACCTGGGTTTTAATTTAACGTGTAGGTTATATTGAAATTGGGCAACCTGGGCAGTAGGCTGGGTTATTGGGTTAAGGTTTACTTAATGTTAATTGTGCCAGAATTCTGGAAAGCTCAATTGTCAAAATTATCCAATTAATTTTGAGAAAGAATAATGGAAAGTCCAATTGTCCAATTAATTTTTTTTTAACGGGTAATCGGTTCGAGGCGGGGCACAATCGCTAAATACCATACCCGCCCCTAAATGAAGCGGTTCATTAAAATCAAAACCATAACCGCTACATTGCACAATCGGTTCGATTTTTTTCGACCCATTCGATTCGGTTAACCGCGATTTTTGATTT